ATAGCCTCCCGGGCTCATCTTAAAAATCCTACACACGACTTCTGGCTATATCATATTATTTTCCTTTAAGTTTCAAAGTCTTCTTCCACTTCAGGTAGATCATCCTTCACTTGAGTTCTTTTTTCGTCGTCGCAAGATTTCATATTGGTTGAATATTTCTTTTAAATGTGAAGTGAAACAACCTTTACTTCTCCAAAACTCGTCTTCTTTATCTTAGTTTCTATCTCCTGCATTCACAGTAGCCGCTCAACACATCAAATACAAGCTCTTAGGTAAACTTCTTACAAAAGTAGAAAAAAATTCAACGCGCCGCCATCTTTGTTTTGAATTTTCATCTTTTGATCTCGCGCTTCTTTCGCACGTTTCTCTCGCGCGCGTCAGGCACGCATAGAAGCAACTAAAACCGACTTGTTAAATTTAACTCTTCCGTTCTCCCGTCTCGTGTGGGGTCTGAAAACTAATTTGGGATGGCTAGAGACACCCCTGGGACGAGATTGAGAAACTGGCGATGATTGAGTAACATGGAGACCACTCTAAAGCATTTTATTCCATTATGTTCACTTATCGAGTTTTCTCGACTCAGGTTCAAAATATATCTTTGTTTCTCTGTGAAAGTCAATTTAAAAGAAAGTAGAAGCACAAAGACGTAATCGTAACAGTAAACTTTTTACAACTTTTCCTCTGCAAACTGATACTTCAGGTAATATTGTTCCTGATGTTTGCCATTTGCTTTTCAGCCCTCCTGGGAAATCGCGGACCCAATAATAAGCCTGGTAGGAGCATGCGTGGTTCTGTTGTCGACTTGTTCTGTTTTGAAACAGTCTGTCAATATTTTACTAGAAGGTATGAAACTTCAACTATGTTTTTCCGAATTTAGATGAATAACTTCGAAATTCTTGAGACACACAGGAGGCCTGTGGCGTTGGACCCCTTAGTTTGGCTCAGCTAACGAACTGGTTTTAACTCAACAATGGAGCGCGAACTCCGAGGGTTAGGCTGTGTTTTTCAGGCGTGCGGAGGCACGCACGAGGCGAGCTTGAGGAGGGTGCAAAGAGAGAGTTAGATACGCGCAATAGGATAGGCGTAAAAAGTCATTTATTTTTCTGGCTCCTCTCGTTACGGGTGTCTCGCCCTCACGGTCAGTTTCCACGCTCTTGCCTCGCGTTTTCCTTACGCTTATCCCGTGCTTTCCTTACGTTTTCCTGGTGCTTTCCTCGAAATTTCCTGGCACTCTACTCGCGCTTTCCTTTCCTTCCCAAGCGCTTACCTAGGCTCGCGTGAAAAACACTCAAAAAAGGAAAGATAGAAGAAATGACGTATATTCAAGGTCAAATTCTATTTCATTTATAAAAGACTGATAGAAAAGTAGAAGACATAGAGATGACACTTCTTGATAAAAGAGGTATTTACTTAACAGGTAGTTCTAACTGCCTCGTTTTCAGGAGTGCCTTCCAACATAAGGCTTGCTGACTTAAGAAAAGATTTAACTGATACTGATCATGTGATAAGCATTCATAAGACGCATGTCTGGTCTTTAACCACTGGTAAAACGATCCTTTCAGCTCACCTGGTCGTAGGTATGTGCCTCCTAAATTGTTATTCATTATTCTGCAGACTCATTCATCCTGTATTAGGAGGAAAAAATAGATACTTGTAAATCTTATATCATCATTTTTAATTTCGACTCGTCTTTCACTCCAGGGGTAACGGGACCCTTCTTAAAGATAAAAGAACTTGGTGAGGTAGTATATTGCTCATTAAGGGACGGGGGGGGGGAAGAGAATGACTGATTAGGTAACACTAAGGTATTTAAGGAAAACAGTGGACGAATGTGACACGTTTTCTGTCATATTTGAACCAATACCAAAACTGAGGCACGCCAATGAAATAACGTTCTTGTATCATTTGAGGATTCCTTTGAAAAGTTGCAGTTACCCTCACCCCCATCTTACACGAGCCACTCTTGATGGCAAAGAAGGCCTGAACACGAGTTTGGGTTCCAGTCCATGTGCGTTTAGACGTATTTCTTAGGGAAGTGAGCAAGCTGACTTTTCTGGGCGAGTTTGATCAATTTTTGACTTTGGTACTCGGCTCATGCGTAATTTATAACTCCAGTAAAACAAAGCGCAGCGGTTTGCAAATTACATCACGAAGCGGGGTAGGTTGGCTAGCAGGTGTAGAAAATGGCTGTTTATAGACTAGAATATCCTCAGGTTTCTGGAGAATCAGGCCACACAGCCCTATGAGGAATTCCGAGAAGTGTACCTAAGTTTTCTCGCCTCAGCAAGCCTTTCTTATTTCAATTGGTTTTTCAACAGATTCCAGAGCGGATGCCAACACTGTGTTAGCGGAGGTAACGCGGAAGATGTGTGAAAAATATCAGTTTTATCACACTTGTTTACAGATTGAAATTCCACGAAAGGGACGCCGAACTGCTGATATTCATCGAAATAACCAAACAGCAAATACAGAACACGACAACGGAGATTAGGGAAGCTTTACGCAAATGCGAAGAGACAAATATTCCTAGTCAGCAAAATTTGTATCATGGAATACATTAATTTTCTGAAAAACATGTATTTGCAAAATAAATTAGAAATGCGTTTAGACACCATGTCCAATGCAAGAATTAAAAGCGAACCCCACATGGTAATTAATATAAAGAATATTTTTACCCAAGGGAGAAGACCCCTCACTTTATATCCACAGGCTTCTTGCTTCTTTTATTTATTCAAATGCAGAGGTAATTAAAATAAAATTCAGACGATTAGTGACGTGAAGCACGATCGCGCATGCGTATAAATGGGCCACTTAAATGACTCTATAGTCCACTCCACTCTCACAAGCTCGTTAAGAAACTTTGATCTAGACCGTTTTCTTTTTTAAATAACCGTATTATGATAACCTCGAGTCAACAGTCCTGAACCAAATATGATGGTTAATGTTAGGAGTCCATGTATGACCCCATGGTTAGGAGTCCATGTATGACCCCATAACGGGTAATGTTTGCGTTTCCACGCGCGCGTCCGTTATATTAAAATGAATTTGGAAATGTCTAAAATCATTGCTGGCTCAAAGCTCTTTTTGTCTATTTGTCATTAACATGTTTCCTTCCAGAATAGAAAAAAAATTCAAAATACAGTATATAGAAATGGGCGAAAAATAAAGAGCAAGACAATAGATTTTATTGTGATATAATTGTGATTTTACTGCGCTTGTTTGTGAAATTTTTGCAAACGATCATGTGCTGCTGCTACGAAAGTCTGTAGTCCAGAGGGAAACTCGTTTATTTCTTTTTCTTTTTGCTTCGCTCTGTTTCACGGCTTATTCGTTCACTGCCACCATAGTTAGTAGAGGTCCCCTCCACTAACTATGCTACCACACACTCAAACGTCACGCTCAATTAACTTTGAAAAAACATGAATAATGCAGCGAATAATTATCTTAACGGTTGTATTAAAGTGGCGCATTATTTTCCAGCATTTATACACTGATTCAGAGCGCGCAACGAATGGATCAAGAACATGTAGGCGCCAAAAGCCTTGAAAACGGCTTGCTTTCGAGCTCGCCATGAAAATGGCGAAGCCTGGAGGCTGGTAAAAGTATTTCCATTGGAAAGTTTTGAGTTATTTGGCTGAAAGTCGAATACGAACTTCCTCCAGAACTCGTGGAAGTGAATCAGTCAAACAGTAAGCTGATTTTTCAGAGCTTAGGGTTTCAAAAGTTTGGGAATACTATCAAAGACGTAAAATTCGAAGGTAAGTTTTAGACATGCTTGTTTTGAGAGTATCTATTTAAAGTTGTATCATCATCAGCTTAAACAAAATTCAAAATTCAACGGTATTATTTGACCTAAACGTTTGTTGGCAGAAGTCATGAGTCGAATATGTAATATTTACAGTTCTAAATTCCCAGCAGGACAAACCTAAAAACCTTGCTATGCCATATTTATTTGTAAAGTTGCATCCTCAAAATCTAAAACATTTGGAAACTATGGATTAGTATTTTGCGTGATTTGATCAGACATAAAAAGTTTTGCCTTTATGGGATGTTTATGATATTCCAGTGTAGCTGACAACTATGCACTCGACCTGTTTAAACTTTGTTTAGTTTTGGAATGAGAGCTATTTTCCTGACCAGCAAGTATAAAACACGCTATTCCAATATTATTGTCGGTTTTCAAGCCTTATTTACTGGTTTGCATTTTCTCAATTCAGTTTCCGCCAAATTTCTCTAAGAATGGTTTTGTTTACATGACCCCATGGTCGTAATGTGCACTTTTCCGAGCCACGCAAAAGTCTGATAAGAACTAATTCACTGACGTTACAAATAGTATTTGAACATGCTGTGGTATTTGGTAGAGCTTGGAAGTCTAAAACAGACTTCCTGAGGTTTTTAGGACAGAATGAAGAAAACCAAATGATGTACATCATTAATTAGGAAGTTATATTCTAAACTTCATGCTACACTGAGTATAGATTTGGCGGGAACTTTTATGAACTCGCTTTTTCAGAAACAATTCGTTTAGCAATTCGTTTCAATCTGATCGTTGCCTTCTAATTAAACTAATATTTCTATTTCGTACATTGTTTTTCACTCGACGATGGGTTTCAGTTTAGCGAAATTCTAAAACTTTAGAACCAATTTCTTCCGGAAGACAATAGCTTGTTGTAAGAAAAGCTCGAAATCAATCAGCTGTAAAGCAGACTTAGTTGAGAATAAAGTAGAACTATTTCAAATTATACCTTACCACAAAGCCTAATTACAACTGATCTTGGAGGTATGCGACCTCCTTTTTTTTTAGTTAAAGAAGATAAATAACTGACCAGTCGAAAGATTATTTTCTGTCATGTGGAGGGCGCGAGAGTCATTGAACTGAAATAACGATAAACAGTTATAAAGAAAAAGTAAAAAAAAAAAAAAAACTAGAGGATTTCAAGCGAAAGAATAGTATTACTCACTAGTTTAACAGTATAAGACTTCCGGAGTCATACACTTTACGAATACAATAAGGAGAATATTTTTTTACTGGAAAATTTTTGCTCCTTTATCGGCACTGTCTCAGCTGACAAGTTTGCGCATGGAAAGTACGCCGCGAATTCAATTTTATAAGTCAATAGACTACAGCTTTTCAGACAAATCAACTAGGATAAATTTCAAATTCGTAGTATCGAATCGTAACAAATTTAATTCCTCTTGAGAGAAGATTTGTACAATAAACCATTAAATGAACTTTATGAAAAGATATGTTCAGGTCGGGTTGTTTTGGCGCTAAAACAAATATCCTGGAAAGAAAGAATAACTAATTAATTATTAATTCACTGAAATAATTATGAGAAAACTAGAACGTCCCAGGGCATTTATGAAATAACAGAGAATACTACTACGAGAGCTTTGATTGGACAAAAGTTCTCGTTTATTGCACCGGTAAACCCAGAGAAAATTAAAACTTTCCTCTGTGTTTTGTTTTAACTTTATTTTATAATACAATAGACCGTAGTTTCTATCGGTTTACCCGCGAAATAACCCATCTGGCATGTTTGGTGAACACTCGAAAGTTTGTAAGCCTCCGGCTCGCGATTTTCAAATTTTTCCGGATTGTTTTATTTTCCCAACATTACCCGTGGGTTATTGCGCCGGTAAACCGATTGAAAGCGCGGTCTACTGCTTCTTGAAGATGTGAATAAAAGATTAAAAATTATAGCATCCATTTACAAAATCACAACGAGTAGTCTTAATCAGCTGTGAAGCGAATTTCAGAACACTAGGTGCTCCTCTTGAGTGTCTGTCGAAAAGTCTTCAATTCCCTTCCGCTTCGCAGCTCTTTTGCTCCTGCAAAAGAGCGCCAGAGATCTTTGCCAAAGTCTTTTCAGATTTTTTATACGGAGATTTTAGCCTCTAAATTTTGACTCTCTTGTCTAAGATTTTAGACCAGTACCCTTCTGTACTGAACTCTAAAGAGCGACCGATCTAAGAAAGTTACTACATAAGCCTGCCAATGGTTTTGACGGTCTGAGTTATTCTCTTTGTTTCTTTTAGAGCGATTCAAGTCAACTGCACATGGCCTTGGATGTAGCTGCGGTAATAGTGGTCAGCGTTGTTCTTTCGCTGTTGATTTTCCTTTATATTGCCCTATCGATAAGGTTCGCGCTGAAAAAGGCATCAGGGAGGATCCCTGACGATGACCCAAGGAACTCTTTCCTGTATCATACGGCAGCATGGCACCCTTTCGGCGTGGCAGACACCAAGTGCATCCCAATACAGCCCAGGACATACGATGAACTCAGAAGGGTGACTCATCTTCATAATCTATTATTAATTTTATTATAAGCTAAATTGTACATGCATTTTGATTGGTTGTTACCTATGGTCTATTATAGGCCAGTCGCTTAGATGACGTCAGCATTAAAAACGTTTTGCATTTTTTATCATAAAAAGGAAAGATTCCATGTTGCCATGGGTCTGTACAGTAATAGATCACAGAAGACTCAAAATAGGGCAAGAATATGCGTGACACACTTGGCTGCGCCACTTTTTTGTACATACCACATTTTGACGTCATCCGTGATATATTGGCGATCAGACGCACGGCAACATGAAATCTTTTTGTTAAACGATGGTCTCCCGTCAGTGGTCAGCTTCATGTTGTGGGCTCTTGAGAACGCGTGCGAGATAGAAGAAATTCTCATTTTGCATAAAAAGCATCAAACCGCAAAAGCTCTTTGAGTTTTTTCTGGTTCCGCCACGCAATGCTTTCTTCCTTCACGTTTTCGTGATGAGCTCTCTATAGGTCCCAGACTCACATACGCGACAATCTCCTCTCCTAAGTTTAACCTGTACTTAGATTGGAATTATCAAGCGATAACGGCTGAGATCACTGTTCAGCGCTGCACATGCGTGAGACTACTTGAATCATCTCGAGTGGAAGGGAAGGAAAGATTCCCTACTCGTCACACCTCGCGCTCCCCATATACAGTGGACTTTCTATCACCCAGAATTAACAATGAGTCATATATGGTCAAAAGTATTTTTGTTATTGGTGTTAATTTTTGAGAGCCCCTCTTGACAAGTTGGATTCCCTCTTCGAATAGTATTATTATTATCATTATTATTATAAATATTATTATTATTAAATAATGCATGTTCATAAGTACAAAGATTATTTTCAGAGCGAAGAGAAGCTGGTCGACTCAGGATCAATGAAAATTCCACCAGTGAAGATTGCTGGAAAGATCAAACTGTCGCTTCAGTATGATTCTATGAGGTAACAGAGTGACGCAGAGTTTTGAGTACTTTTCACTAGACTTTCACTGTATGTAGTATGCAATTTCTTCTTATATGGGTGATATGCAATTCAGTGATAAAAATATTAAGACTGAGACCAAGGGAACACTGATCTGGGGAACACCACTCGGTCCAGTTTTCTTTGCTGACGTCACTGCTCACGTCTAAACAAATCGAACTACAGTATTCAGGCGAATCTTTTCCCAGGCTCTACGCCTGGAGAAAGAGATCAAATACAAAAATTAGCGTTAGTGCGCATCTTGTACCCGGATCTCCTCAATTTTTTAATTCGGAAACGATTTGGGTACGAAATAAAAACGAACGCATGTAATTGGACGTAAGCGTAGGTACATAATCCCTGACATTTGGTTTACCATTGAAACCCAGGTCCACTCTTATGGCCACCATTCACACAGTCAACCTACAAGAGCTTCCTTCTACTCTTGACGCCAACTATTACGTCACACTGAAGATCCTGCCGCAGAACCATCGCTCGTTCCAGACCAAAGCGGTCAAACGGGACAAGAGCCTCGACTTCAAGGAGACGTTTGAATTCCGAGTCACATTCGAGAAACTTAACGCACAAAGTTTGAAGATGACGTTATGTTGTTTCGATCGATTTTCCCAGCATGAGCCTCTTGGTGAACAAACAGTGCATCTAGCTGACCTCGAGGCCCGTGGGCTCAGCCTCTCTCGAGAGATAACGTTATTTCGTGATATTCATGCAGTTCGAAAGGTAAAACTTGTTGATTTTGTTACTTGCACTCAGGCTCTTGGTCGGTGGAAACGAGCATAAGGAGCAGGGGGGTAAGCTGCCGTTTCCAGACCACCTACAGTCACCATTTGCGCTAGAAATATTGCGCGAGGCCGACCAAATTGACCCCTTGCATATGCATGATATTTAATCCTTATTTTTCCGTGGGGGTGTGGAGAGTCTTTGCGCATTAATTTTCTTATAGTAAGCATGCTCACACTCAGTTTATGAGCAACTTTGGAACAACATTGTCTTGTTATTCCCATCTTTCTGATGTTCGTTTGCCTTAAAATCTATTCTTCGTCTTATTGTGACTATGTTCTTGTGAATTGTAGGCATCGGGTGTTCTTGGGGAATTGATGATATCCCTGGGGTATCTCAGGCTAACTGAAAGGCTAACGATAGTGGTAATCCGGGCGAGAAACCTCCCTGAAAATGAAGACAAAGAGGATCCAGGCAAGTACCTCTAATCAGATCCCCCCCCTCCCTATCGCCGGCCATGGAAAATTGGCGAAAACATTTGGATGTGTTGATATTTTGTTTTCTTTGCAACTCCCCACGAGCAGATATGGCGGTCTTCCCTCCCTCCCCCTCTTAATTCAGTTCCCGACAATGGAGAGCTGGTCAACCAGAATGAAACCTTACGTTTTTAAATGTTAATCTTTGGATGTTGCTCTTCAGTCTCACTTTGTCGCAATATATAGGTTCATTGCAGCCTGAAACATCTGGTCCCTCTCTTTCAGAAATAAAACTTCAAATTCCGACCTTTCGTCGATCCACAAAATTTGGTTTTTTGTCTTAATTGTCATTATCTCTTGTGTTTTGCTTGAAGCTAATGCAACCAAAACCTGAAAAAAGCGAAAATCTAGGTCTGTTGAGAAACAAAGTTACAACAAAAAGAGGTAATAAAATGTCTCAGTATTCGTTTGAAATATATTGATTTGCTTATAACTCTTTTTAATAGCTCCATACGTTGAGGTCTCTCTTATTCACGAAGGACGAATCCTCAAGCAGAAAAAAACAGTCGTAAAGGAAGAAAATAGAAATCCTGTATTTAACGAAACCCTCACATTTCACATTCCTGTTGGTATCCTTCACCAAACAAGCTTTAAGTTGTCCGTGAAAAGCCAGACTCAAAAGAGGACTGAGGACGATTTACTTGGAAAGATTTTTCTCGGCCCATCATCCACCGGGGGCGAGTTTGACCACTGGAATGAGATGAGGATCAACAACAAACCAATAGCACGCTGGCATAAGCTTCTTGATTGACAAGCGCGATAATTCAGATGGATTTCCCTTCTGCATCAGCTGTGAACATGAAAGCTTTGTAACGGTTAAAATGGTTAAACTTGTAGTTCATAATTTCGAGATTTCTGATTTTAAGTCAGCCTGCATTTTCAATTTCTCATACATCAATTGAGATTTTCTCATACCTTTTTTTTTCAAAACCATTGTTTTCTTAAGTTTTATATGTACAATGAAGTCACGCAACGCTATAAAATAGATTAAAGGAGCAAGTTTCTAAACTTGAAACTGTGGTGTGGCGTAGGTGGGAGCATTGAAAATATGATATTTTGGTTTTATCATACGAGTTGATTGCGTAAATTGGCCACCGTGTACAGAGTCAGCTTTGGTAACTCTTTACGCTAATCAATTTACATTTTCCACTCAGCTGATAAAAAAAAAAAATCATCTATAAAATAGATTCCTTCTTTTAACATCATTGATTCACAATTGTTCCGCTGTTCAGTCTATCAATTCTGGTTCCACGAAGACTGGCCTTGTTTCCATTGTTGCTCATAAATTCTTTGTCCAACGGATTCTTAACAGCCTAAATTCTTCTACCTTCAGGTGGTGTGTCACTTTGTTCCATTTGAAGGTTTAAATATCCAAAGAAAGTTATAGTTGTGTTATTTTTTTTTTTTTTTTAGCACCGAATCCTGCATGGCGGCTTTTAGTCATTTTAATGGTAACTGTAGCGGCGCAAGATACGCTCCGTGAGATTCTTCTATGATAATTGTGAAGTTTTCCGTTCGGTTCCCTGAGGTGGAACTTCACACTTTCCTCATTCTTGTTTTCTCAGAAAACTGAAACGTGCGCTTTTGAAACGAAATTTGATACAAGTCACAGCAAAATTTGTCATTCTAAGAAGGAAATTTTAAAAATTCTTTGAAGAGTTTTGGGAAGTGATTAATCCGTGTTTAAAGAAACATGCAAGCTAGCCTAGCGGACGAAGACAGTGAAGTAGAATAGCACATACTGGCAGTCTTTCCTTTCCTTCAGACAAATTTCCCCCTAAGAGCTAATTTAGAGATTGTTGAAAGATAGGTGTCGAAGAGACGAAAAGAAAACAATGCAGTTGTTGACGTGGCAACTCTGTGTTATCATGCCCGATGTGACAACTTCCCCTAGTGCTAACCGCGCAGTAACCGTAGACACAACTGCATTCTCGTATTTCAACCGAACTACAGAACCTTTAAAATCCGAGACAGTGAGATTATTGCGTATCGTCTGCGCAGTTCTTGTTGTTAATTCTCAAACCACTACAAAGATTTTAATCTATCGAGGACTTTCCAAGCTTTCGCTGGTTTGAATCGAATACGAGGAATTGAAACGGGCCAGCTATGGAACTGCCGAAGATATAGCGAAACTCCTCGTCTTACTCACGAGAGGTATGCATTTGTTTTTTCAAACTCCCTCGCGTTCTGTAACTAATTTAAGGAAGGAAATTTAACTTTTGTTACCGCCTATTGAAGTGTTTGGTAACTTAACATTTCTATTCCACAATTTACTGCTGAATTTTTACGATCAAACTGTCCCTTAAGAGGCACGATAAGCTTAGGCAGCACGCCAAATCGACTTATTTCCTTCCATGTTTTGATGCATGAGTTTGACAAACCTTACAAGAATTTTCACTGCCTTCCTCTTTCGACGAGTTTCGCCTTTACTTCCTTTGCATCTGAAATCACAGGACACATTTTTCTTGAAATTCAGAAATACTGAGTTGGATTCTCATTATGTTCTCAAATGTATTTTTTTTTTTTAATTTGTGAAGTATCTTCTGTTTGTTGATCTCTGTTTTTCGTAGTGACAAACTAATTGCACAAAACGTCGTGATGTAATGGCAAATTAATTCAAATACATCCATCAAGTAATAACAAATGTAGCCGGTACATGAAATGTCTTAAAAGCAGAGATTTCTAGGAGAGAGATCTGCTGTTTCCATGCAGCCCTGATTGCAGGCGATAAAATATTTTATATCTTACTAGGGAATCAGTTCATACGAGAAAAGTGCATCTGTGACCTTTTGTCTCAGCAAAAGCGTATTCAAGGTCACAAGTGTTTTTGTGACGTGTTCTTCAACCACGGCTCAGTTTTACGTCGACGGCTTCGCTCTTCTTCATCTTTAATCAATCTTAATGCACGTTTCGTTTCGCCAAGCCAACTTCTTTCCTTGCTATTGTCTATTTGCGAGGGATAAATGTTTTTTGTGCTAGCGATTTCCCTATCTAAGGGCTTTCAGAAACTTGCTACAGGAAACTGACTAACTAGGTGAAAATTGGTAACTTTAAAGACCTTAAACGCTTTTGAAGAACTACTTTAACCATACTGTATGCATTGATGTAAAACTTCTTATCGTTGTGCTTGAAACTATTAAAAAATGGCCACGAAAGTTTGACACGCGGGGACATGATGGAGTAGTAAAGTAAATTTTTGTCAGGAAATGTAGTCCATATTGACACGATGTATTCACAAGATCGCTTAATTTATAAGATGCTGATGAAAGTGCCTTTGTCATATGGTTTAATTTTGCAAAAATCAACATCACCTGGCCTCACCATTAAACTCTTTCTTACTCGTCCCTAATCACGTTTTCTTTTTTTATTGCAAATGCAAAATGCTCAATGCGACATGTTTCCTTTTTTTCTGAATTTTTGTTATTGTTGTTGTTTTTTAAGTTGTTGTTGTTTTTTTATTTCCAGTTATTGATTCTACTGTTGATTTTAAAGTTTTACAGCCTCGCTTTAAAAATATGTCTATCGATGGTTTGGTTAAAATCTTCACAAACTGCAAATCGCCCAAGACCAAATGAGCAAAACTTGCGCTCGAGTCCTGTTCTTCGAGATAAACGTTGCACTCTTCCTAAGTTATGGAAAAAATAGGCAAAAAAAGAAAAGCCCTTTAGAGCACCATATTTGGAAACCATTTTATACAAAGCTTTGAGGTCGTGATTTCCCAGATTTAAATCACGATAACTTGAATGACAAGAGATTCTTCTTTATAACGGAGACTTTTTCTACATATTGCTGCCTGTATATGTTATTTACTACCTTCCATATTCTGCATCTATAAAAACTTGGATGACGTGACTCAATTTCGAAAAAAAAAAAGAAAAAAAAGAATCCATGGCGTACTTGTTTCCTTAATCGCGAGCTTTCATTGAACTATTGCTGTTTATCAACTTATTCTTTTCGTCAGCTGAAAAAGCTCTGAGCCAGATGTACTCAAGAGTTATTGTATTGTAAGTTATTCAAAACATCTTAAGATCACCCAACTACTTGCTCTCCTGGTTTTTGTCGGTCGCTTGGTAACTTGTGTTGAAGCTGCATGTTTTGAAAATTAATCGTTTTTTTCGGTTCAAAAATATCGCCCCAGGCCAGTATTCAAATCTCAATGGAAAATGACTTCTAGCTGCTCCGTTGGATTCTTAAATGTTTACCTTTTGGAATATCACATTGCCATTTACTTCGACAGCAACCTAATTTCATACTAATGAATCATTATCAGTTGCATGAACAGGAGTTTTTTTTTTTTTTTACCTCTAACTGAGACAGTAATATTTTATGTCGTGCGGACAAAAATGTGCTGAAGTCGCTCACATGATATTGTGGTCCCTTGTGAAGTAGTTTTGTACAAACAGTAGCATCGTGTTTACCCTCTGGATTAATTAACCCCTTAAATAATATTTTTTATTCCATCCGAAACCTTCTTTCAGCCCTCCGCGGTTTGCTTTCGAACTCAAACAAATTTGCCATGAGTTTCGTAATTTTCCGCATTCTAGCGTGAGAGACGCTTTCAGACAGGTTAATACCTGTGTCTTTGCGCAATCTCTGATTGGCGTTCAGCGGTAGTGCTTTGTTCCGAATCGCGAAGGTTGACCGAAAAACGTTACATGATTTTGCAATTCAAATGAGCTTGATGTCAACATGTTTTGAATCCGTTGGCAGATAAGTATAAACCACAAAATAACGGGTCGTTAAAAAATTTCAGCTGATATCACTGCGGGAAATCGTCTTCGATTCGAGATGTAGTATTTCAAATGCTTTGAAGTTCGCGTCGGAAAATTGTTTTCGACATGTTAACTAAATGGATTCTATTGTAAAGATTCCCGGGTAAGTTAAATTATCAGGTTGTTTCTTGCAGCGAATTGGTTGAATGGAATAAGTATGTTGAATAAGCCTTTAACTTGCGCTAGTTGATCCAAAAAAATTAGCTACTATGCATTGTTCATCAGCTTTTTTTTCTTTGAAAAATTCTTGTATTCCTTGACGAGTAACTTCCTCCTTCCTTCTTTCCGCGAAGCTCAAGTTTTGAATCTTAAAGAAATTGTACTTCTTCGACAACTGTTGACTTTTCCAGAAGACGTTTATGTAAATAGTTTTCTAGTCCAAAGGATAACAATCTTTGTGACCAAATATATTGTTGCTATCCCTGACAGATGTATGATCAAACGTACAGAACATTTCCTTCACACCTTACACAAAGTCATCCACAGAAACCGAATTTTGAAGATCGAAATTGAAATTTAAAATCTTCAGACATATACCACACCCGGTGAGTTAATTAACAGTGACCTGTTTTCGTTACGCTGATTATAGTTTTTTGGATGTTGTTTTGTTAATATTTCGATTACTCTGAGACTTCACTTTTAATTCTAATCAGATCTATTGCAACCTTTCTCGCCAATGCAATGATTTATTTCCACACTTTCGACTGATTTTATGAGAGATGCAGCAATTTGTGTTTATAAAGTCGTTAAAGAAATTGATAGCATTTTACTGTGTTGTCTTTGGAAACAAAACGAAATTGACTTGCGCGAAAATGCAATGGTAAATGTGAATAGTACTGTTTACTAAACTTATACACACTACAATATGATAAATATCTAAATAACTTGAATTCATAGCCTTTTCCTTTAACATCATTGTGCGCTCATTTTATGTTCTAATTTGGCTTTAAAAAAGTATCGCAGAATCTAATAGACAGATATTGAATCGGCAGAAATCACTTAACCCGTTAAAATTATGATCTGTTTAATGAAGAACTTACACATTTTATTCAAAGGACAGATCTTACAAAGAAACGTGTTATGCTACCTAGTTGCTAACAGAAACACAATCACGCCAAGAAAGGAAAAGAAAAAAAAAGGGGAACGAAACCAGACAAATTCCTAATTCATATGCACCCTAGTATCTTTCTCAATATTCGTTGATTGGATGTTAATTTCTCTGTATTTCCGATATGTACAATATACTGGAGAATTTTGACTCCTATAAACTTTTGAATTTGAGAGGAGTTCAGAAAATAATTACTTTCTGTCGAGCTAAGGGCTTTTTTCAGCTCTTAGCAACCAAAGAGCTCTATTGCCGATGAGGCCCTAACACCCGTATCTGAGTAAAACGAAAACTGACGGACGTGAATAATATTCTGTTAATTTTGGCTACAAAAATACAAAAATAGTAAGGCTACTAAGTGTAATTGGTGGAGGTTAATTAAATTGTATTTTATGGTCAACTCTCTCAGGGTTTACCAGAAAAGGTGGCGTATAAATCTATCAACTTTTTCCCCGCCATGATTAGAGCAATATCGCAGCGTTTTGAACTATGAGAACAGCAAAAAAATCAAAGATTATTGCCGAAGTCGTGAAATTCAAAAGTGATACTCGAATCATCCCTAGAATGAAAAAGACCTTTTGTTTACACACTTTTGCTCTTTCTGCTGCCTGTTAAATCCCGCAACAATTGCGTAACTTGTGAATGGTTCGCTGTCTTATAGAGTGGTGAGGCGTTGCGCTCCAAACAAAAGCTTTTAAAATCGTTAAGTGATTTTTTGTCTGGCCTAAAAGGGGATGACGGTTTTGTGTCAAGTACCTACGTTGTATTTCTTTTGGCACCTTTCAGGAATTGTGCTCATCTCGCCCCATTTCTCTTCGAGTACTCTAAGTTGTCAAAGAGTCTATATTTCAAATTCAAGTTTAATTTTCAAGTTCGTACCTATAAGGTAGGTCATGGACAACACTGCAGGACCGTATTAAACCACGAAATAATGGAAAATCTTTCTGTAAAACTGGAATTCCTTAACCAAATAGATTTGAGCTCGGCCTTCTCAACATCGAATATAATTTCTTTAAAAAATGAGAAATGCTAAGAATTTTTTCAATTGTATGTCGATTATAATATTTCTTAAAAGAGTTTTTCACCATGAAAATATGAAACGTTTTAAATTAAGTTTGTAAAAAGTTAAAACTTGATTGCTACAGTTGGTATTGGGTTCGAGTATTTGAGTGACTTGGTACTTAACTCTATAGAACCATACACTCCATTTCATACAAGGCGCCAGAATTGTAGTCTACTGTAATTTGTGTTGAATCGGAAACTGTTCCTATGAACAAATAATCTCTGGTTCGAAGCCAAATGACCGTGTAGGATCTTCATTGAGATACAGAATATCAGTCAATTGATCGGGGAATCCGATTGTCCATGCAAGAGAGGTCCTGACAAGGACTGCTGTTGGTAGAAGTGATCGATGGACTTTGCGGAAGTAATCATAGAAGTCGGGTCCTTCCAAGGAAAACACTAGCACACTGAGGAAAACATTGGGCATGCGCAAGGGAGGTTAGCCGGGCGCGTGCCAATTTCCCGCGCAAAATCTTGAGGAAAAGTTAAAAGAAACAACCGCTGTAATTCATAATGCGCGAAAAAAATTGAAACGTTTATAGAAATCGGTAAAAGGTTACAAAGTAGGAAAAAGGAAAACCTCGAGACTCTTTGTACACAAAGCTTATTTAATTACGGGTTTCTAGCCGATTTACAATTTCCATTGAGTTTTCAAACCCTGAGACTCAAATCCCTTGTGTGGTTGTCTACAAATTGTGTAGGACAATTTGATTCTGGCGGCCCGAGAGCAAATACAACGTCTACACATGCGCAAACTTTTGACAGACAGACAATCAGAGGACACGACTTAATGTTACTCGTGGGTTCAAACCTTTTCATCCTCGCTAAAAGAATTCGAAAAAAAAAAAAAAAAAAAAACTCTTAAAATAAGCCTTCCTCGTCTTCCATGAAGACCAACACGATGTTCTTTTTTTCTTCTTGGCTCAAAAATGCAAAATTATTCACCAGACAAAAATTATAACCGTAAGATAATGATGATTACTTTTTACAACAGAATATTGTTTTAGCTGCAATTGAATTGTCGACTTTATGAGCTTTTACCAAAAAAAAAGACAGACTTCTTGTCTGTTTTTCGGGAAGACAGCTTGAAATCGATCGTCGCAGTTTTGATTTTCGACTCCGTAAAACACTCTCCAAAGCCACGAGAAAGGTTAGTTAGAATCTGTTGGTGACCAATTTCCTTTAAAGCTAAGATTTTCTCTCGCTTCTACCATTTTTCATTGTCTTATCAGGCCACCAGGATTAACATATAACAAAATTCGTCCGAGTGACTACAACTAAAAAGGACCTATTTTCTCAACAAATTGCTTCATTTAGTTCAAGTGCTTTTAACCTTGTCTGTCTTAGAATCTAATAATAATAATAGTAATAATAATAGTAATAATAATAAAATATTTATATAGCGCACAATCCACTATTTGTCCATTGCGCTTTACATCAATAAGTTAAAAATCATCTGAAAATAAAAGAGTTAAAAAGCTTGATTAAAAATATATGTTTTTAAATGTCGATAAAAATGTCTATCGAATCTACCAAAATATAATAAAAAATTTTACGCCACGTATTTTGTTTGATCAGTTGCGCCAAAGTCATGAACTCGAGTAATCTTTTTTATCGACAATTCAACTAACGTTTCAACCTCAAACACACGTGACATTCACTCATTCGCCACGCTGTTTGAGTTATGTTTGATGTAGCCTGCAAAGTGGGTATGGGATGAGATGAGATCTCCGTTAAAACTCGACGAAATGGTCTAAAATCGTTACCAAAGAACAAAAATAACACAAACTACACTATATGAAGAGTTTATGCTATATTATTTACGGAGTTCCATGGCGAAGCGTAACCTCCCATACAAAGCTCTATCCTTTCATAGAGAGCTTGTAATATTATCCTCTCATGGAAAGCTTGGCACCCCTGTGCTTGGACTAGATCGGTGTTGAAACTTATTATTGCGGTGGGGGCACCATGAGGGACGCGACGATCCGAGGTTAACCTCACGGAGCCGTACTCCTCCCCCCCAAGGGAAAGGGAGCTGTATTTGATAGTTACCTGTCTTGCAATATTTTTTGCCTTACTTTAATATGTTACTTTTCTCATTTGTGTCATTATCCCAGCTAAAAGATGCACGGATATGTTGTCACTATCTCCATCGTAGCTGGCATCTGTGTCTTTGTGGCCCTCGTGTATCTGGTCTTCAGAATCTACAAGAGGAGGGCAGAATTAGGAACTGACGCAGAGGTTGTGGGTCTGTGTCCCCCTAGCATTATTCTGACATCTGACAGCCCTGGGATGTCGAAAAAAAGACTCTACTCGCCCATCAGAGAAAGAGCTGGATCGATGGAGAAGGATGAAAAACTTCAAATGAAAGAGAAGAGAAAGGACATCAAAAGTTTATGGCTTCCGAAGAAGAAGACAAGTTTACCCGTCATGCAGGCAACCATGGTTCAACCAGCTGTACCGGAGCAAACAAAGGCATGTAAATTGACTCGTCACTCGCTCGCATGATTGCGCGCGTGCGTGCGTGATCACTCGCGCGACACGTATTTTCTTTTCAGGGTCCTAACAAAGAATGTTTGCAAATTTTCAGGCATCCTGTCTAGACAAGAAAAAGTTTTGGAAGACTGGCTGATAGGTGAAAAAAGGGCTCTCGTTGAGAAAAAAAAATTGATGCTAAAAACTCCGCAAACACTCAAAAGAAATTCGAGGCTTTTGTTTATATGGCATTTTTAAATTGCCCCAGCGATCAAGCATTCGCATGAAACACATTTGATTGGTGAGCGCATCTCAATTTCAATGACAAATTTCGATTTAATTTCAGAATATTTACGATAAGTCCCTATTAACTGGCAACTCAACTACAATTCCCTGTGTATTTTGTATTTGAAATACAATCTCGGTAGCTTGTCGCAATGCTCGTCGTGTAAAAGTCACGAAACGTAGAACAAAAGCTGCCTCATTCTCGGTCCGCTACTGAATCATTTCCAGTCTTCTCCTTTAAGTAGCTTAACGTGATCCGCGCGTGCTTAGGATATGATCTGTGTTTGATTTGTTTCAGGATCAAGGTGGAAGAGGCCGGCTGACTTTCACTCTCCATTATCATTATCAATATGCGTTGAAATCGTAAGTTGATCTTGTTCTTTAGTAAGTTAGTAAACACTTTATTTATAGAGGGTAGCACTAAATAGCTAAAAGCTAATCTTGATGTGGCCCTCAATTATAAAAATAAGAGTAAATATTAAGCTAAATGGTAAAATAATTTAGACTACACTGTTCTTTAAAAATTACATTAAAAAGACTCTTCTTAAATGCAGGAAGAGAACCTTTTTGTCTTAATTCTAAAGGTAATTTATTCCATTGTCTGCATGCTCTGACTAAGAAAGACTTTCCACCTTCTGTCTCGTGTATATACTTAGGGAAAACTAAATTAAATTTAGCATACCTAGTATTTCTAGAGTGGACTTGATTATAAACAGTAAATTTTGAATTAAGTAATTCGGTAAGGTACCTTAAATAAGTTTAAAACTAAAGAACAACAACTTATCTTATTTTCTTCATAAAAAGCAATCCATTTTAACTTATTAAATAAACGTACAGATGGCAAATCTCTATCAGCAGACAGAAAAACCCTATAGCCACCCTTTTTTGCAGCTTCAATACTGTTCAGACTCTTTATCACAACATGATCAGATAACACTAGCGTAGGTAATTATAGGATGAATTATCAAGTTGTAATATAATAATCTTTGCCTAAGAGGCAGATAAACTCTGATTTTTCTGAGAAGCGCTATACGATGCGAAAGCTTGTTACAAATTTTATCAACATGTTGACTAAACGATAGGTGACTATCAATGTCCAAACCCGACAGAGTAGCATTAGAAACATTTCTCACTAGTTCCTGATCACTAAACTTCAATGATGGTTGAAAATCCAACTTGGATTCAAGTCTTTTGCCAGTCACGATCAGAACATTTGTCTTGTCTACATTAATGGCAAGTTTATTTGTCACTGCCCAGTTTTGGATTTCAGCTGTAGAATTATTGAGGTCACATTCAAGGTTATGCTTAAACTTATAGTCGGCAGAGCATGCAGGTAATAGTTGTATCATCAGCATACAGATCTGTCTGCGCTGTGATATAAAGTGGCAAATCATTACGTCCTACATCCTTTTCTCTTCAACTCACAAAATACCTACCATCAAAATGTGACCCATACGGTCCCGCGCACGTTTTTATTGGAAAACGAATCCGTATTAGCTCGATTGTACGATTCTGGATTGTTTTATCGTTATAAATTATAACTTTTTCTTAATGAAGAGGGACATACTCCGCGTTCCCCCCAGAACCCTCGTAGCCATGCCTGCTAATTCCATGAAGAAAAATTTTCTTACATGTTTGAGTTTTCTAAATCTGTCCCAGAAAGTTTTCACTTGTGTTCTTGCAGATCCGTTCTGCTCGTCAAACTTGCTAATGCCCAGCAATTACCGCCAAAAGATAATGATGATCCCCCGGATGTGTTTGTCAAAACACAACTCGTCCCAAGCTGCAAGCGAGTTTACATCTCCAAAGTGCATAGAGGAACCTCGAACCCAGTCTTCGACGAGACATACGAGTTTGATATCGAATATCAAGAGCTTCAGCAACAAAGGCTTTTGTTTGAGATTCTTGACTACGACTGCATGTCTCGATACAAACCAATTGGAGAAGTCAGCGTGCTTTTAGCAGAACTTGGAACACATGGTTTTAACATTTTGAGAGAAGTATCTCTGTGTGTTTATATTTCTAGACCCCAGAAAGATTGAACCGGTTTATTTTAAATACCTTTCACTTGTATTGAGTTTGTACATAGTTTTCCTGTCAGTGATTACATTTCAAAAACATATGATGGGTCTTCAACGAGACATACGATGGGTCTCACAGATCTGCTATTTAACAAGGAGATTTTAAGCTCGAGATTTCTATCACTTGATAGACGATGAGGGCGAAGCCTCGAAACAACTATCTCGGATGGAATTTGAGAGCAATAATCTTGTTGTTTTAGTTTAAATCTATTAGTCGTTCAAACTTAATAAAAAAAAACAGGCCCAATTTCTATTATTATTATTACTAGTAGTAGTAGTAATAGTAAAAGTATTATTACTTCGTTTACAACCGCACGCTGTTGGCACAGCGGTCCAACGTCTATGCATGCGCGAACGTTGTAGTGGGGGAGTGGTGACGTACTTCCATGCTATCAGAACCTTTGTCAGGAATTATAAGCAACCACGCAAGCCAGTCAGTCAAGGTGTTTAAAAAGCGCATAACGGTTTCGATAAAGCTCAAAACAAAATTGTAAATTAACAGGATACCCGTAATCAAATAAGTTTTGAGGTCTAAAGGTCTCAAGTTTTCCTTTTCCCGGCTTACTTTTGTTTCCTTTACAGATTTCTATGAACGTTTCCTTCCCCCCCTTTCCATGTATTTTTTCGACGAATGTTGTTTCTTATGTTTTTCTTGTAAATTTTTGGCGGGAAATTGGCGCGCGGTCAGCCGAGGTTAATCTCCTTGTGCATGCGCGACGTTTGACCACTGTGATATCTGCTGTGTTCACTTTACTCATTTTCTATCAAAACGTCAAAGAGGAACGCATGACTGGTGGCTTGAAGTCGTGCAACCGCTGAAAATCGCGGGAAAAAGTGCATCGGCAACAAACTATTGCAACAACGTTTAGAAAATGAACTTAAATCGACTTGACAAATATTAACAAAAATTATGAAAAAATGCTCAGCGGATTGTGTCCGTGAGTTGTAGGAAAGTCGCTTTCAAATTTTACTAATACTTTTATATGTTGTAGATATTTGCTCAAAAATCATCATTTAGTTTATCTATTGATAAATTATCAGAATAATTTTTAGGTGTAAAACGTATGAAAGTTGTGTATAATTGTTTAAGTCTTAACTTTTAAATAAAGAAATGAAATTTGATACACTGTCTTTTGTAGTTTTGTTGGTTTCCCACCATGCAATGGTTTTCGAGGATCAATGTCGGAGCAACTGCGCACCAACCCCTCCCCCCAACCCAACATTAACCTTAGATTGTTATCAGTAGACTGTTGCTGGTTTAGGGGAGGGGTGGGTACGCGGCTGCTCAAGTGCTGACACCGATCCATTTTCCATCTATGAGAAGATGCACGCTGCTAGAGAGTTTTCAGGAATGGCTTACAATTGGAAGAATTGATAGAAATATAAGAACATCTCTTTAATAAATACGTTGATTAATCGTGGGGCGATTTCACGTGATTGTCGAGAAACTTAAGAAATACCAGAGAAAACTAAAATGCAAGAAACTTGCTTTAAACACGAAGGCGCGCTATATAATGAAGTCTTCCCTGGGAAGACCTAGGCTCATTTGTAACTCACCGTTGACGTGTGCGGGTCAAATTTAAATGCTGGTAGACGAACAAAAGGAGCTAATGAGATATCTATTGTGAAGGTGTAGTCTGATCGTCCGGATGAGTGTACGGTATGGTTGTTGTAGTCGTAGGGGTTGAAGTGATAGGAAATGCCTAACCTACAGGGGTTGCGCAATGCCTAACCTACAGCACTGACTATTTTTAACGACTGACTCTGGAAAGCTGGTTTACTAACTTAGAACAGACTCCCCTAAACAGATGTCAACAACTACCCGCTACGGTGGCTCAGAAGGCTCAACGCAAACAAAAAATATACTGCAGCAAATAAAAAATATACCGCAGCAAATAAAAAATATACTGCAGCAAATAAAAAATATACTGCAGCAACTAAAAAATATATTGCAGCAAATAAAAAAATCAAAACNGCTATATAAGGAAGTCTTCCCTGGGAAGACCTAGGCTCATTTGTCACTCACCGTTGACGTGTGCGGGTCAAATTTAAATGCTGGTAGACGAACAAAAGGAGCTAATGAGATATCTATTGTTTACTTCCACCAGCATGGTGGCATGAGGTAACGTGCGAACCACCTACTTCGATCTCAAATTTACCGCCACAAATAAAGACAGTTTCCATTGGAGAAAGGAAATACAAATCTCAAAAATTCTTGTATTGTGATGAAGACATAAAACAATTTTGAGGAATGCGCCAGCTGTTCACTGCTTTGGTGTAGCTGTAGCTCAAGCTGACTTGACTCTAAGAGTTCTACATCACACGACGGTTGATTGACAAATGGTCCAGTGGGACCTAAGGCTCCTTTTATAGTGCACCTTCGTGTTTAAGACTCGGGGGAAACATAGAAAACTATTGTCATTTTAAACAAACCAAATTATACCAATCAGATTTGTGCATTTTGTTAGAGCATGTTCACGCGCGAAAGTTTCAAACTCTGTTTGTTTGGAAGGCCACGTTGTGGCCGACGAAACGCTCTCTGTAAAATTTCGCCTTCTCTTCACTGGAATTTCTCTGATATTATTGCAAAATATTTTGCTGAAAATTTCAGGTTAGTGACAAATCTTTCACATACAAAGTATCTTAACTTCTTTTGGGGTGTATTTTTTTTAGATGCCCTCGTTTAAATTGGCGAGTTTTTCGACACAATAAATATGTGATAAGAAGAAATAATATTTTGCAAATTTTAAGGACATTGTTTTGTCGCTCTTTCAACGTAAAAGCTGCATTTGTCGCTGAGGGAGTCGAAGTCGGGCGCTTTAAGCTTACGAACTACAAAAAGATGGAAAGAATAAACCAATAACACGTTCATACCAATAGCACGAACGGGATAATAAACAAAAAAAAAAAGAAATCTAAAAGGCATCAACATTTGTCGAAACCTGAAGCTTGAGAAAAAAGGAGCGATATTCAGTGATACAAACCGAAGAGAACTTCGTATAACTTCAAATTTGCCCAATGTGCCGCTCCGTTTCTGATATTAATGCTGTAAAACGTTTCATCTACTAGAAATGTCTCTTGAACAACAGCAGATAAGAAAAAATTCGCCTTGTCGCCCCTTTCCACCTTAACATCAGTATGCATATTCTCCATATTGTTCTCTATACATTTCCTAAGGTGCTGACAAGGAGTGGTTTGTCCAGAAATCAAGAGCTTCTACAGTTCGTGACCATTTTTTTCGAATTCTCATAACCCTAATGTTTGATCCAGAGGCTATACTGTTGTGAGAAATCAGATGCTCATCATACGGTTAAGGATTAAATGGGTAATTGACTTGTTCGCTTTGAAGGTACCTCATTTATTCAGATTTTTACGTTCTGAAGGCAAGCCCGTCAGATGTCAGCTTAATCTTGTCGTGGAAATGCACACTGCCATTCTCTACGCTCTTCCTTTTGTGATCCTGTTCCTTCTGTTGGCTGGATTGGTGTCATGTCTCCTAATATTGAGAAGAAGGATGGGGCGTCAGTCGCGGAGAATGCGTGACCGTCTCCCGACGTCTTCTGAGCTGCGGAGTAAAAGAATTCCTGTGATCGAAAGCATGGAATTTTGGGTTCCAGGGACAGTGGGCGATGTTGTTGGAATTGAGATTCAACCTTCGCCTCGGCTCATGATGCCGATCTCTTTTTCGACGCCAAAACAACTTCACAGTGAAAAAGGGGTACGTGAGTAGAATAAGTGAAGGATTTTTAGGGCCAAACAGGCTTTTCTTTTAGATAATTTAAGAATTTTGAGAACATTTAGAGATATTCAGATGATAATATCTAAAAAAAACAAAACAAAAAAACAAAAAAAAACAACCGATCGCATAAAAACTAATTTATGTGGTTCATAGAACTTACTCAGTCAACTGTTTATCGTCGTTACCGTTTGTTTGAGGAAGAAATATGACAAACCACCTAAAACATTAAGTAAAAAAATGATCATTTTGGTTCCGTTTGAAGGTGCCTCCATACAATTTCACCACAGGAATCTTGCATTTTGTGCAAATTATGGGATTATATCGAAAACAGTTTTGAGATGAATTGGAATTTTTCGAAAAAATTTTTTTAAGGCCTTAGAGATAAAATGAAATTTAGGGAAATTGTTTGGAGAATTTCCGGAATGACTTTAAGGCCATTTTTCGGGATTTCTGTCTCCAAGCCTAGAGAGTGCCAAGCCATCTGAATACTTGCTTGCAGCACGCGTAGATTCATGCTAGGCGAGCGTGAATAGCGAATCACGCGTGACAAAGTGACACCTGAACGCAGGTCATCGTTTTCGCTGTTCTGGCTCTTATATCTCAATGCATCACTTAAGATGTCAATTTCTTTCTTCCTCGCGTGCGTGAATCACCATCGCGATCGTCTCGTACACTCTGAAAAACCAAACGGAAATAGGAAATGCCGCCTGTCTCGCCTAATACTTGAATACAGACTTGAGACTTCTTCATGACATTTTGGCCAAACCCCAGCCCTTAAGAGAATGTAATTAATTTTTCCCGCAGGATAAAGATGAAGCCCCGAAGCTTAAATTTTCAATCCAGTATCATAAAGTTAGGTAAGACATCTTTATGACTTAACCATGCGTGAACAATTGCACATGCGCACGGGTGTTGCTCTTTCGCAGGCGCGTGTTACTTGCGCCCTTGCCGGACCGGGCGCCTGTGTAGGCTAGAGAGAGCTTTTCGTCCCGCGCTTTTCGAAAAATTTGGATATTTGAGAGAAAATTTCCTCTCGCTTTCGAATCTAGTGGCTTTTTCTTAATGCATTATGATGACGAATGTCTTATTTATACAGTGGTTTGCTGGAAGTTCAGCTTCTGGGCACACAGAACATATCTGTGGGCAGTAGCCTTGATGACGAGTTTTACGACTCGGCCTTCTTGTTCGCTGACGTTCAACTCACTCAGCAGGTGAGAAACTAACAATCACATCCAACCTCGTTCCCAGGGCTTTTCCTTTTTTGAATATTTTGGGGGGCGGGAAAAATATTCAAAAAGGGAAAAGCCCTGGGAACGAAGTTGAATCAGATCGGGGGACTTCCCTCTAAAGGTAACAAACGTGCAACAAACGGGGCACAATTTTCGGACTCTTGAACCTCGAGACTATCAGCGGATTTAAGTGCAACCCTTCAACAGTGTGTAACCTCGGCGAACAGTGATTTACTAAGAGTTGCCTATTTATTATTTTTTTTATTTGATTTTGAAAATTCTGCAAAAATATTCATAACTCGATATGCTACAATTTTTTTCGCAAAATTATTTGACAGTGAGATTGCGTTGCAAATCAAGTCGCCCTCCTTGATGCCAGGATGGCGTATATTGGTGATTGGCCATTGGTTAAACTGTATCAGGCGGTACAAAATTCAGTACCCTAGTTGACTATAGATCATAGTGCCCCCGTATACCCCTTTATTGGTATCAAAGTATCACACTAAACGGACAAAAGGACCAAAGTTGCAAAAACTGCGATCAAACGTCAGATCAAACTTCCGTCGGCCATGCGTCCATATCCCGCGCAAAAACAAACAACGAATTTCAGCAAAAAATTTTGAAGAAAAAAAGAAACATTCATGGAATTCCCTAAGAGGAAACCAAAAACAAGGCAAGCAAAAAATGTTTTTACTAAAGCCAATCACAACAAAGGAAAAACCAATATAAATTCAAATTTAGCAAGAAACGAGCAAATTGACTAAAGCGCTGGAAAATGAGTGACCAAGACGTGTTTGGTTCTAGTTTGTCATCTGATTGGTTAAGGGGGAGGGGAAAGTTTTCTGAACCAATCACAGAGCGGAGTATCGGAAAACCAATCCAACCCCACAGTACTTAGGATACCCAATTAAAATTGTCTTCCTGCAATCTGTATCGCCTCAGGAGAAGACAAAGCAGAGATTGCGTCTGATGTCCCGTCGCCGGCGCCGACGTCACAAGTCTTTTGAAATCGAGATGAGCTACGAAGAGCTGCGACTTCAGACCCTTCAGTTCTGTGTTATGGGATTCGACGAATACTCACGACAGAAGGTTATTGGTGATGTGTTATTGCCACTAGCCGAACTTGCGCAAGAGGGCATGGACGTAACCAAGGA